AAGTATTCGTTTGGTAAAGTTTAAAATCCAATTAAAATTGAAAATATAGCCGTTATTGGGTCTCACTCGTCTAATAAAAGTCAACAATAACAACTAGTTTTTCAATTTTAATCCGATTTTAATCTTTACCGAACACGCCCTAAATTTTAGTTATCTTTCATACAATGAAAAACAAACGGTTCATTCACCTACCGAGTACAGAACTGCAATCAATCTGATATTGGGTTGCAGACTCCAAGCACTAAGGTCTCTATCAACAATCAGAGAGACCACTGTTGATAAAATGGCAGCAAAGCAGCAGTAAAAGAAGACTATAATCAGCTCTGCTGGGTATTTCTTAAGAATCAAAGCCTATAGAGGAAATAGCCACAATTAAAGTAACCAATCTGCAACAAATCAATAAAGTTGAAATTGGCTTTCCATGTTCCATAATGGCATGTTTGGTAAAAAGGATTATATAGCACTGGACAATATCAACGATGGAAAAAACAAAAACAAAATTTAGTCTATAGTATTGCCCAATACCGTCTAATATTGCATACCAAACATGCAGTAAAAACCTTCTTCTTTTTTTTCTTTCTTTCTTGGTTTCTTTCTCTTCCATTGTTTTGTTCTCTTTTATGAGTTGTCATACCTGTACAATTATATAGCCTGAAGACACTGCACAGTCTACTGCAAGGAATAATCCTCCAAGAATCCAGCTTGATTGCGGTGTTTGAATAAAATTATCAAGCAATTTGGAAGTTGATTGGGAAGTCAGAATTTGGGGGCCTTTGTAGAGAGTTACAATGAAGGCTCCAACAATTGAAACTACAGTTCCAATAGTTTTTGCCTGAAAACTTGCACTTCTACAAGCTAGCTTTTCCATCCTGAGAACCACCATTTGCAGTTTAATCAATTAGATAAAGTTTTGTTTTGTAATTTTGTTTATCTTCACGACATACAACTTGGCAAATAGATTTAGAGATTAAGTCATCTAGTATTGCAAATATCTGCTCACAATACAAAGCAAGCACCAATTTTCACCTCCAAAACTGAATAATTGAATATGTTGTTGGATTGCGTGGAGCCTAATCATAATTTACTTTTCTTTTAGGTGTATTTTGATTTCAGGTCTTAGGCATTACATCAATGTATTAGGTAGTTATAGTATTCCTACAAGCATAAAGGGCGTTTTAAGGAGCTATTTTTAGTGTGAGATGCATAGTAGAGTGTGAAATCATCATTTTAATCTTCTTCTCACTTGTTATTCATTTCTTTTAATTACTCTCGTAAATATGGATTAAGACTTAAGTACTTAACCATAACATATAGAACACGAAATAACATCAGATGATATTCTAATGCCTAAAAAAACACAAAGAAAAAATCAAGTTTGACAATTTAATCTTCATTTTCATGCTATTAGAATCCAAACTTCGTCATTATCTATCAACAATCATGATAATTCACGTACATATACACAAACATAAATAAAGACCATAAGCCAAAAAGAATTTAGTTATATGATCAGGAAAAAAGGGTCTCAAATCAAGCTAATTAGCAAATTCAACCAAAATCAACAGAAGGCAAAAAGTGAGAGGAGAATAGGAACCCGAAAATGAGGGCAAGTATAAAAGTAAATCCTGGAATGAGATTAAGCATTGCCGATGCAAATTCTGCATTGGTGTAGTTGATTCCAGTATAGCCTGTCAGCTGCGCCAAGCACCTATAAATTAAATTCAAAAAGAAAACCAAAATCAAAACTTTCTCTACGATTCGAAACCCCGAAACAAGATCTTCAAAATAACACCTTTTTGTAATTTTAATCTCCAAGATAACCTTTTTTTTAGAAGTAGTTTTCTTTGGACAATTCATAATTTATAGATGATTAGTCTCTCTCTCTATATAGTAATGGAATCAAGGAACTTACCCAAGCACACCTAGAGAGAAAAACCCACAAATGAGTGAGAAAGTGAGTGGAGGCCTATTCGACCTGCATATATTATTATAAACCAAATTAGAAATTAAAAAATCCCAAGATTTATCTGGGATCAATTTCAATTTCCATGTGTTTTCCTCTCAAGAAAAATTGAAAAGGGATTCTTAAAAATGATACCGGTGGATGAGAAGAGCTAAAGGGAGGAGGATAATGGCGGCAAGTGCATTGGAATAGGCAACAAATGTGTAGTTTGTCATCCCATTCGCCATTGCTCGTTTGCTGATTAATATTAGGCCTACTTGAGCAGTTGTTGCCAGTACCATGCCTACATATGGCGTTGCTGCACTCTCCAGCACCCCCATCTATCTCTTACTTTCTCTCTCTAGAGTCTGAAATGGTAAGTGTGCTGCGGTTCTGTTGCTTCTGTATTTGGCTGGAATCTAAAGTGGATGCACACCAGTAACCGGGCCGGCTTGGTTGGTCTCGGGCCTATTGAATTTTACTTTCATTTGTAAGAATCTTTTCTGGGTTTTTTGTCCTGACTGGTTTTACAAGTGGTAGTGCTTAGTGCATGTTTGGCGGAGCTTATTAGTTGCACCTGAGATCATCTCCCATAGGCTCTAAGTTATATCTAAATTGTGATTCAGATATTCAAAATGGTCAAAAAAAACTCTTCAGCGAAGAAATGCGAAGAAAATGCAAATTGCATTTTTGGTCAGAAAATGTAAAAATATATGTAAATTAAATTTTTTTTTTTTAGATGCATAAAAGGCAAATAGCTACCGACCCACTTGTACCCAATTTTTAAAAATATTTTCATTAGAGCATAATTTGGATTTAGATCTACTAAGATGTAAATGAGGATGCAAAATTG